GTTATATGGGAGGTAGGCGTGGTTATTGTCCGATTTTTAAAGTTTTCTGCCGTTTAGTATGCTGTACTATGGCCAACAACTGTGCCAAGTTTAGAAGAAATTGGTGCAGCGGTTACCAAGATATACACATGCAACCATAAGTGGGCGTGGCTACGCCCATTTTCCAAAAATTTATAATATTCATGTTTTCCGTCTGAAACTCATTGTAAGTACCAATTTAGAGTGAATTATCTGCAGTAGTTACGAAAATATCGCAGTTTTCGTATTTCTTAAAATTACCGTTATATGGGAGGTAGGCGTGGTTATTATCCGATTTCGCCCATTTTTAATACCGTCCGTCCCACGCCCAAAAGAAGTTCACATACCAAGTTTCGTTAAGATATCTCAATTTTTACTCGAGTTATCGTGTGCACAGACGGACGGACGGACAGACAGTCACCGCTTAATCGATTTCTCTTTTCATTCTGATCATTTATGTACACATTTGTCTATATCTATCTCGATTCGTTTTGCCTGTTACAAACAACCGTTATGTGAACAAAGTTATAATACCCTTGTGCACAAGTGCGCTCGGGTATAAAAAGAATATTCCGACGAACTGATAACCTCCTCCTTTTTAGGAAGTCGGTAATAATAGTGGTCAAATGAAAATACGCAAAGATTTTTTTTTATCAAAAATCAGCAGTAAAGCGTGTTACTTAGGTGTACGTGGCGTATGAGTAACTTTTTTTCCTGCTCATTTTTCATAGAAAAAATCTTTGCGTATTTTCTTTTGACCACTATTATTTCTTTATTTATCAATCGATTTTATTCAGTAGTGACTTGATATTTTTTTGTAAGAGAACAGGCTTTAGAACAGATGCAAAAATTTAGCCAGAACCTGTTATTTTAATAATTTTTCTTCTGTTAAAGTTAGATTATTTTCATTTTTTCATTACAAATTAAAAAAAAATAACTGGAATGATTAAATAACTTGTCAGACACTATAAGTCCTATCGGAAAGTGATGTATACATGGTTTATGGAGAATTTTTTTAGCTTTCATTTGCCGTACTTCATATTATGATTATTAAGTTGCTTCGTAAGATATACGTGATTAAGTTGAACCACTTTTTGTTTTAAGCTGAATAACGGTAAATTGCAAATATCTCAAAAACGTATCCATAGAAACAAACAAGTAATTTTTAGCAAAAAAAAACCGACTTCAACTCTCATATAAAAAAAAATATATATATATATATCTCATGATCCGCTGATCGGATCTTAACCAGAATTATCGAAATCGGTTGACGTGGTCCAAAGTTATGCGGTAACATACATAAAAAAAAAAAAAAAAAAAATATTCCGACGAACTGATAACCTCCTCCTTTTTTGGAAGTCGGTTAAAAAGTAATTCGATTCTCTGAATCACCGAGCAATTCTGCATAGAAATTGGATAGTGCCGTCTGGAGGACAAAAACCAAACTAAAATTTGTATTCCAGTGTTATCAGTACGGGTCGGAATCTCATGCAATTGCATGTTTTTATTGGGCATGTTCAAAACGAAATGGTTAAGTTATCTTTACGAATCCTGAAATTTCCTTTAAAATGGCATTCAACCGTGGGTGCATATTTTTTGCCTTTTTTTGATTTACAACCATTTAAATTTAGTGCGAAATCTCTTGCCAAAAAAATCCCTATAATTTTTTCTTAAATATTCATCTGAATATCTTCTCAAATAGCCAAGCGGCCATTGAGGTACTCTCTTCTACTTCTGTTAAATCTCAACTAGTGGAAGACTAGGAGAGAGCTGGCCTATATCTCTGATGAATACAAAATTACCCTAATATGGTTCTTGGCACATAGGGAGGATCAGGGAGATAACAGCTACAATTACCGAAATTTATCACTCGAAGGCTAAGCAGAGGTGGAACCGTGCAGGATCGTACAGGATTTCCCGGCAGTTCTGGGTGTCTTACGACCCACTTAGACCAAAACTCTCTTAGGAATGAGCAAAGAAGGTACCTACTAACCTACTGCAGTGTGCATAGGGCACTGGCTCAAAAGAGACAGTCGAACACTTCCTGTGTCTAGCCCTTGCAAGGATGAAGCTAAACACACTCTTCAAGCCATTCCTGCAGTATGTTTTAGAGTGACATCTCTCTGTATGACGTACTGAAATTCATT